GTGAGCCATTTTTCTTTCTTTGTACAATTTATTTCTAGTTTTATACCTTTGTTGTCTTAATAGGATTGTGATTTGTAGGATGTCAATCTTTTTTAATTTATTGAGGTTCTTCGTGTAGCCCAGTATGTGGTCTATTCTGGGAAATATTCCATGTGCACTTGAGAAGAATGTGTATCCTGTTGCTTTTCAATGTAGAGTTCTATAGATGTCTATTAGTTCCATCTGTTCTAGTGTGTTGTTCAGTGCATCTGTGACCTTATTTTCTGTTTTGTAGATTTGTCCTTTGAAGTGCATGGTGTGTTGAGGTTTCCTTTAATTCTCTTAGTATTTGTCTCACATATGCTGGTGCTCCTGTGTTGGGTGCCTATATATTTAAAATGGTTATATTCTCTTTTTCGACTTATCCCTTTATTATTATGTAACGTCCTTCTTTATCTGTTGTTACTTTCTTTGTTTTGAATTCTTTTGTCTGATACTAGTACTGTTAACACATGCTTTTTTCTCCCTGTTGTTTGCATGAATTATCTTTTTCCATTCTTTGACTTTTAGTCTGTGCATGTCTTTGGGTTTGAGGTGGGTTCTTGTAAGCAGAATATAGATGGGTCTTGCTTTTCTATCCATTCTATTACTCTGTGTCTTTTGATTGGTGCATTCAGTCCATTTACATTTCGGGTTATTATTGAAAGATATGTACTTATTGCCATTGCAGGCTTTAGATTCCTGGTTATCAAAGGTTCAAGGTTAGCTTCTTTACTATGTCACTGTCTAACTTAACTCGCTTATTAAGCTATTATAAACACTGTCTGGTGATTCTTAATTTATTTCCCTTCTTATTCCTCATCCTCCATTCTTCATATGTTGGGTATTTTGTCCCGTGCTCTTTTGTGTTTCCTTTGAGTGCTTTTGTAGGTAGTTGATTTTATTTATTGTCTTTATTTAGTATTTGGTTTGTCTGCTTTCTTTGCTGTGACTTTATTTTCTCTGGTGACATCTATTTAGCCTTAGGAGTGCTCCCATCTAGAGCAGTCACTCTAACGTATGCTGTAGTGGTGGTTTGTGGAAGGCAAATTCCCTTGACTTTTCTTATCTGGGAATTGTTTAATACCTCCTTCATATTTAAATGATAATCATGCTGGATACAGTATTCTTGGTTCAAGCCCTTCTGTTTCATTACATAAAATATATCATGCCATTCTCTTCTGGCCTGTAAGGTTTGTGTTGAGAAGTCTGATGATAGCCTGATGGGTTTTCCTTTGTAGGTGACATTTTTCCTCTCTCTAGCTGCCTTTAAAACTCTATCCTTGTCCTTGATCTTTGCCATTTTAATCATTATGTGTCTTTGGTATTGTCCTCTTTGGGTCCCTTCTGTTGGGAGTTCTGTGTTCCTCCACAGTCTGAGCAACTATTTCATCCCCCAGTTTGGGGAAGTTTTCAGCAATTATTTCTTCAAAGACACTTTCTATCCCTTTTTCTCTCCCTTCGTCTTCTGGTACCCCTATAATGTGAATATTGTTCCATTTAGATTGGTCACACAGTTCTCTTAATATTGTTTCATTCCTTGAGATCCTTTTATCTGTCTCTGTGTCAGCTTCTCTGCATTCCTGTTCTCTGGTTTCTATTTCATTAGCAGCCTCTTGCACCTCATCCAGTCTTCTCTTAAGTCCTTCCAGATATTGTTTCATTTCATAATCCCCTCCAGACTTCATCCCTTAGCTCTTGCATGTTTCTCTAAAGATCCATCAGCATGGTTATGACCTTTATTTTGAATTCTTTTTCAGGGAGCTTGGCCAGGTCTATCTCCCCCGGCCCTCTCTCAGGGGTTGTCTGGACTATTTTGGACTGACTAATTCTTCTGCCTTTCATGGTGAAAGAGGTAGCTGTAGGCAGGTAACACATGTAAACTGGAAGAACAAAGTCTTTTCCTGCTTGCTGGTCACCTTGCCCTTCTCCACTGCCTGTGTCAGTTACCCCCCACTCCTGAAGCAGCTTCGAGGTTAATCCCCTAAGCTGCTGTGGGTGGGGTCTCCGTCAGATTAGCATAGAGCCCTGCAGGGAGTGGCAGGTGCACCAGGTGTGCTCTCCCATGAAACCAGCACCCCTGCCAGGCAGCTGTGTGACAACTGTCACCTTTGGGTCTGACCCAGGCAGCTGTGCACAGGGCTGAGTGGCTGCTTGGGGCTTGGCTGCTCCTGGACACCTCTGGTGCCACCACTGCTGGTGCATGTGGGCCAGTCCTGGGCCGCTTGGTTGCCACTGCCATGGGCTTGCATGGGCTGTTTCCAGTCCCCTCTGGTGCTGCCACCGTGGAATCATGTGAGCCACTCTGTTGCTACTGCTGCTGCCAGCCTACATTGGTGGCCCCATGCTGCTTGGCTGCTGCCACCACAGGCTCATGCAGGCCACTCCTGGGCCCCTCTGGAGCTGCCTCCCCCAGCTATGCTGCCACTCTCCCACTACTGAGTCAGTGTGTTGGGGTCCATGCCAGTTGGGGGAATGACTGGAAGGCTGCTTATTGCTGTGAGGTGCTTCAGAGTTTCCCTGCTGCCCAGGGGTTTAGGTCACCTAGAGTACCCCAGATTCCCAGGTGCTGGAATGTGTGTGTTGGGATGACTTCATGCAGCTGTGAGGTCCCTTTCCCTTTAAGACTTGCAAAAAGCACCTGTGGTGGCCCCAGTGGGAGCATGGATGAGCCTGCCTTGGAGCTTTCCTCAGGTCACCAGTCTCACCTGCTGCCTTCCTCAGCAGCTCTGTGCACTTTGCCAGGGGGTTGGTGTCTGTGGTGCTCACAGCTCCCCATCTTCTGTGCTTTCAGCCAGCCCCTCATCCCCTAGACCTCTGGTGTTGGGGACCCAGGGTTCTGTCCTTCTGACAGTCTGCCTTCTGTCTCCAGCCTCCTTCAGTCCCCACCCCCACTGCAGTCTTTACCCTGTACTGGGGGTCGCTCCACGTGGTGGCTCTCTTTGCCCACAGATCATCCCTCTGGGCAGCACAAAGGGCATGTGGGAACCGAAGGGCATGGCCATGTGTAACAGGCATCTGGACCTCCATGGCTGAGTGTGGGGTCTGGGTCGGGTGGGAATTGGGTTACAATCTGTCTGTTTGTATGCTCCCATAAAATTGGCCGGGTGTTTGAAAGCAGTTCTTAACAAAATTGCTTCATATTTTTGTTAGGAGTGGTCACTTAATTTTGTTTATGGTGTTGACCTGCACTGAATAACTGCTTTATTAATGTAACAGTTTAGATCTTCTTGGAGATTTCAGGGAAATATGATGTGGTTCTGGGACTGAGGCACCACCATAAGTTGCTTAAGACTCAGCTCTTTATCTATGAGAGGACAAATCTTACTGCTTCAGTGGCTTGTGAGGACTTCGGAGGTAGTTCTTAGGTTAGCCATGTTGTACAGTCGAGCAGCAGTGAGCTTTCAAACTGTACAGTCATCGGCTCAGAACTGCTCCATGTTTTCACTAGCTTTCCTAGCAGTGTGTGAAGATAATTGCTTTTTGGTTTGAGAGAGGGTTAGCAAGGTTTTTATAACAAGCCAAGTGGTAAATATTTTGGCTTTCTGGGCCAAAGCACTGCATTCTGTCCTGTAGCCCTGTGTAAACAGTGGGTATACTTATATTCCAGTAAAACTTTATTTACAAAAAAAAAGGCAGCTGGCTGAATTTGCCTCATGGGCTGTGACTTAACATTAGTAAAGACAATGGGGTGGCTTCATTGATGCCAAGTTGAGTTATTACTGTACAGGAAGGAATAGGGTATGGACTCAAAGACCAACGTTTCTCAGCCTTTAAAGTTACTAAATGGGTAACATTAAAATTTTAAGGAGTCAGTACAAATTCACCTACAAACGTGTTTAGCATGGAGGACTGCATAGCTTCATGTACACAGCAAGGAACTGTAACCTAATTAGGGTTATAACCAGGAAATTGGACAACAAGTGCTAGCAAGGATGTGGAGAAGTTGGAACCCTCATACACAGATGGGGAAGAATGTAAAATGGTGCAGCTGCTTTAGAAAACAGTCTGGCAATTCTTCAAACTGTTTGCTGTAGTTACCATATGGCCGGGCAATTCCACTCCTACGTAGAGAGCCCAGACACATGGAGATGCTTGCTCACACAACAGCATGCATACCAGTGTTCAGGGCAGCCTAACAGCCAACAAGTGAAATAGTAGCCAGAAAGTGAAAACACCTAAAATATCCATCATCTGGTGGATGGATAAATAAAACATGATCCATCCATACTGCAGAATATTTGGCCATTTTTTATGGAGGAATAAAGTACCGACAGGCTACACACATGGATGAACCTTGAAGATGTGCCAAGTGAAAGAAGACAGATGCAAAATGTACCATGTTCTATTTTTTTTTCATATGATATGTATGAAATGTCCAGAATAGACAACTCCACAGAGATGGAAAGTAGACTAGTGGTTTCCTGGGGCTGGGAGGATCAGGAAGTGACTGCTCATGGGGGTGAAGTTTCTTCTGGAGTTCAGAAAAGGCTCCAAAATGGATGGTGGTGATGGTTATACTGGTCTGTGAATATACTAAAAAGTCATTCACCTGTATATCTTGTGGGTAATTGTGTGCTGTTTGAATTACCTCAACAAAGCCATTAAAAAACTCTAGGTACAGATTTTGTTTGAGAAATAGTAAATGATAAAAATGATCCACCATTGTTTGGATAAAGGAGAGCTAGAAAACGAATTTGCATCATTGGATCCACTGATTTTGGTTGTGTGTGTATTCCTGACCTCTCCGTGCCCTTCCCCATACTTAGTGACTGATACCCACATCCTGTGGAGGCAGATGGTGGCGAGGGATGCGTCCCTTGTCCCCCGAATGGTCTGCCTTGGGGCTCAGATGCTGTCCTTTTATTCGTGGGTAATCCAGAAGCTGGTCCTAGGACACAGGCATGTTGTGTTCCTGGCCAAGTTCTGGGGGTCTGCTTTGCTCATTTGGGAGGCTCACGGGATGCACTTCTCTGTTGCAGATTGAAGAAGGAAGTAAAGCCGCTGCAGTGGACAAGTTGCTGGCTGGAGACGAGATCGTGGGCATCAATGACATTGGTCTCTCAGGGTTTAGACAGGAAGCCATTTGCCTGGTGAAGGGGTCTCATAAGACCCTGAAGCTGGTAGTGAAAAGATAAGGTCCATGCCTCATTCCAAGTTTACAAACAGGTGAGCAGGGCAGCAAAACATGCCTGGTCGACCTGTGTCACTGCCACTGTCCGATTTGGACGTACGTCTTGTAACTTAAATAAATTGACCCTAGCATTTACTTCACTTTTCTGATACACAAAGACAGCCTATAATATGTAGAAATGAGGTTGCTAATGCAATGTGGCAAAGGATGAAAGCTTTCCCTTCCTCATTCGTAAATGTCCTCCTTGGATGCTGTTTTGATTTAAGAGAAAAAAAAATATAGAGTCCTTTGGTAATATGCCTCAAGACTGTACTAAATTTGAAGTCTTAGATTGGCAGTTCTGGAGTCCTTTGGAGAAGATGGGACAGGAGAGGCATTGTCATGTCCTTTGTGGTCCCTTATTCACCCTTTTAAAACAGGATGTGTGTCCTCACGGGGTTCCGTTAGTCTGAGTGGAGTGCTGATGGAAAGGACTTTGTGCCCCAGTGGAAAGTTGGATAAAAGACATAAATAGGCAGGTATTAACGTAAGCAGTAGAAATAGGAACCCAGTATTATAAAAAGATGTTTAGGAATCTGCAAGTTTATTTCAGAGTGAGATACTAGGTTGTGACAAGTTGGCAGACTTCTAATAGAAATTCAGTGCCCACTGTTGGTGAGATTGTGGGGAAACGAATATGTACTTGGTATTATGCTGACTAGACTGCAAGTTAGACAACTTTTCTGCTGAGCAGTGTGGCAAAATGTTTCAGAAGACCTATCTTGAACCCAGAATTCATTTCTGGAATTCTAGGTGCTTGGCAAAGGGAAATGACAGGCATGAATTAGAGGGTATCCACGTTGCGGCATGCTGCCGTTACAAGCAGTGTCTGCATTTACCGACGTGGAAAGGTGCTCTTCAAAGTTTGGTTCAGTGGAAGCCAAAAAGCGCAGTTGTAGAGCTATGCTCATCCCATATTAAAACAAGTTTTAATTTTTAATTGTGCTAAACTAAACATGGCAGAAAATTTACCACCTCAGCCATTTTCAGTGTAAGGTTCATTAGCATATTACTTTGCTAACAATGCAAACATATCAAGCTTGTTGCATTTCTAGAGGAGAAGCCTTTGGGGATCAGTGTGCCTGTGTTCATAGGAATCAAGCAGGGATCTCGTCCTCAGGAACTGTTCAGCTGCAATATCACATTCTGTTCTGGACAGTGCCCCAAAGGAGGTTTGTTGATTGCACTGTGATCAAGCAAAAAGAATGATCTTCTGGTTGTAGGAGTTGGAATGCTGGCGACAATTTATTCCAAGGCTGTTTTTCGTCTATATTTATTTAGTTTTAAAGAACTAGACATGGTAAAACATCCATGCTCAAAAGAGAATTTGGGGTAGAGAAGTAATCTTCCCCTCCCACAGAGAAGAGCATTATCGCTACTAATGTCTTGGGTTTCCATTTAGAAATATACATGTAAATACAGGAACATGTATATCTCTGTACATTGTTCCATGTTGAGTACACAGAGGTCCGACTCATGATTTCTCTTAGTGACCCCATGGTGCTCCACGGTCTGGATACCCCACTGTTTAACAGATTCTCTGTGGTTGTAGGGAGTTCCTGTAACAGAGTGTGCTGCAGTACCCAGGTCTTTGTGCCCAAGTCTGCGTATCTGTATGTATAGATCACTCAGATCCGTTCCTAGCTTGGGGGTTTCTGAGTCAGGTTTGTGCATTGCAAACTTTGATGGGCACTTTTAAATTTCTCAGACTGTTTTGACTCCCCACATCAGCTCTAGCACAGGAAATTGTCAGTTTGTTTTTGTTTCTTTTGAATGTGGTAGGTGAAAAGTGATTTTAGTTCATGGGCATTTCTGTCATTTATAAGTTGTTAGACATCATTCCATATGTTTAGCACCTTATTTTGAACTAAACAAACATATTTAAGGATACAAAAGTAGGTCACCTCAATTCTGTTTAAAGCAAAGCATGTATGTCTCATGAGAGCAGGTCAGTAGAAGGAAGGAGGGAAAGCCGTGCAGGCCTGCTGGGTGACTGAGCTATCTGGGCATCGGAGACTCTTGGAAGAGGGGTTAGGCTTTAGCCCTGCAGGATTGGTGGGAACCTCTGTGTAGAGCCCTGGTTTTGCCTTCATACCCAGTGTCCTTTACATGAGAGGTGCACAGAATGATCATCTGGTTTACATGGGGTTTAATCTTTTAAGTAATATGCATAACAAGCAGTTGGCTCATGGTTTTTGTTTTTGTTTTTGTTTTGCAAACGCTTTTCATAACACACTCAGGTGTCTTAACATTTCTAAAAGTAATTTTGTATTTTTAATGTTCAATGTAGGTATTATTTTTGCCTATTAGAGGAAAGTTTCCTTGCTCAGTTGGGAAATGGCAAGTGAAATTTTCCAAGCTGGCTAAAGTTGCTGTCATCCAGCACATGGCAGAGACTACTAACTGTAAATCCTGACAATGCACATTTAAAATCACTGCAACTCCAAACTAACTTCTTATCATTTTCCTTATTGTAAAGGCACCAAGGAGTGCTTTTAAAGTGATTTCTCTTACATTAGTAATGCATATTCCTTATCTAAGTTAAAATCTCTGTTTTTATCTCACCATTCCTTCTCTTTCCCCAGGCAACTGCTAATCTGCCTGTCTCAGAGGTTAGTTAGCATTTTCTAGTGTTTTATGTACAGCTCCAAAAGTTGTCTACTCTTTAAAAAAAATTGCTGATTTATAAAAAGACACTGAACAATTCAAAGAACAAGCCACAAACATATAAGTATGGCATTTTGCCCTACCTACAAGTATGGTCAAATGATAAATTAACTTGCTCCATCCACTCTTGTTTAATCTGATTCGACTGCCTGCCTACTTCAGGTGCCATAGGAAGGGGTAGCTTTTCTGATAGAGATAAAATAGATTAGGTCTGAGGGCCAGAGAGGCCAGGGCAAGTTTGTTTGCTCTGGGAGGTTACGTGAAAGGGGGCGGACGCAGCACAGTGTGAAGAACCCGTGGTTTTATAAGCATAGTGGAAATCAGTCACACACAGACTCCCACCTGCTATGACAGCTGCTGTGTGTCGCCTATTCTGTAGGCTCATCTTAATTTCAGTGTGTGCAGAGAACAGGGCCTAAGCAGCCAGGATAGGATTGCACTGGGGAGGTTTCACAAAGCGGTGGCATCTTCTTTCATGAGACATGGGTACCATATCTTGTCATCCTTTAGAAACCAGGCTGGGGGTGGCAGGTGTTTGCATGGCTGCTTGCTCTCCCCAGCCACATTTCTTCCCCAGACAGATGAGAATGGGCACCTTTCTCCCAGGGTGTCAGCTGGAAACAAAGAACTGAAACGATAATCCCCCAGATCCCCATAAATCCTTTGCAGTGCCCAGGTGGCATATGCCTCGCTGCCCGGGGGTGGGGGTGGGGGGCACGATAGTGGGCGGGGCACCTGCCCAGGTGTCAGCCCACCTGTTCAAGTCTTGCCTTGCCCTTCCCTCCCCGGCACTTGGTGGTTTCTCTCTTTGGCTAAGGAAGTGCTCCTGCAGTAAAGTTCGGGGTGGAGTGGTAACCTTTCCTGCCTTGTCTGTCCTTCTGTGCACTCACTTGTCATCTGCACTTTCTTCCTGGGTGTCAGGCCCAGGATCTCCCTGGGGACCTGGTGGGGGTGCTGGGATCCTCACAGAGGCCGCGGGCTGGTTTGCTGCTGAGGGTGAGTTCAGAGTCCCCTGCCTCGCCGAGCGTGGTGCAAGGGGCTGCCTCCCTATTGAGGGGGGTGTGAGGCTGTAGCTGGGAAATGGGCACTAAACCCTCTGCGTGGAGGCTGCCCTCCATTTCCCTCACTTTAGAGGCAAATTGCCATAAAAGGTCCATATAATTTCAAATACCCTGAGGAAATTTCTTTTAAATATCATTCCATACGTTATTCTGTAAAGTTGTAATTACTCTTGGTTTTCCAAATTTCTGAGCTAAGTTAGTTTTGTGTACAATTGAGGACCACCTGCCACCTCATCATTAATGTTACTGTTGAACCATCAGGGGTTGCAGGCAGTTTTGCTAGGGCCAGATGATCAACAGAGTTGGTTCCTGTGATTTCCTGCCTCTTTGTTGATAGCCTTAAACCCTTTTGTGAGTCTAATTACTTCCACTAAGCTTGCATTACAGCAGATGAATACCCAAGGTTGGAAGTTCTTTGCAGGACCTGACAGGGTTAGCAGGCTGTGTGATGTGGTTACACATTTGAAGGGAGGAGGTTTCAGGTCTAGTGGCAGCACCTGTGTTTGCTAGGAACAAGTTTCCTGCAACATGCATTGGTTTCTGGATGTCATCAAGTTGCAGTGAATTCTGTACCAAGCTGGTTTTCTGTGTGCTCCCCTCTGCTGCTGGCTCCTTGGAGTTGTCCCTGAGCAGGTGGCTCAGCGAGTGGCCCCAACGGTGATTAGCACAGATGTTCTGGAAACAGCTACAAGCAATGGTGCTACAAGAGTACAGGGGGGCTAGGACATTGACAGGTTGTGTTCTTTCTACCCTGCCCTCTCCCGCCTGAAGCAGAAACAGTGTGTGTGTGTGTACACATGCACACTAGCCTTAGGGTGCGGGTGGATGTTGGCAAAAACCTGTGCTATTGAAAAGTGGTCTCAGATCATTTGCTCAAGCTTTGGGGGGAAAAGTTGATATTCTGAGCATTTTGGGGGATTACAGCCATTTGCTACAATGCTCATTTTCTTTTTAAAGCAGTAGACCCAGAGGATTATGCTGGATACACTCTGATATGTTTGGGCTGATTTTTTTAAATTCAGGAGACACATGAAAACCATGTAGGTCAGAATTGTTTTAATTTTGGAAAAGATTGCTTCTGTTCAGATTTAGACAGTGTATAATTTCAGCAGTTTCATCAAATGAATGTCTAATTACGTGAGACATTTCATATTCTAAGTAGAGAGTGGTAAAAAGTTAAGGTTTTGTTTTCCATTGCAACGCGTGCAAGTAATAGTTACAAAACATGGTTTGAAAACATTGGTGGTGGTTCCTAATATGCTAAGAGATGCAGAGAATGTTTCAGTTGTTTTTGCTTCTTTATTCTCATATAGGGCTCCCCCGCGCTGGCTGCTAATCCTTAGAGCTGCTTATAGTTAGTTATCTTAATGGTTGCACGTTGCAGCATCCTGAGTTCAGTACCTGCTGTTACTGTGCAGCCTTTTCTATGAGGCACCCGGGGGACCACCAGAGGTTGAAACAAGAACTGGGCACCTGCCCTCCCTAGCAGGGAGACAAGGGGCACCCTGGCCTCATGGAGAGGAGCCCTGTTGCTTTGATGTATCAGTTTCAGCTGTTCAGGTCATTTGGGAATTTTTATCCTAATGTTCACGTATAAAGGCAGGAACTGCTGGACTCTGAGCCCGTAGGACCTCAAACTGTATCAGGTGTGATGTCCTCATTCACGGCATTGCTTTGTCTGACCATGGCTGGGGAGAAGATCTGGGAGCACTCCCAGAGCATGTGCTCTGACCTGTGTTTTTACACATTCATGTAACATGGTTAGAAGGGCTGCAGCGAGTGGGGAAGATCACACCGTTAGGTCCTGCCCCGCTGCACCTGGCAGCCGAGTGGGCTAGTAGGCGTGGGCCAGAAAAGCTCCAAGTGCGATCCGACACATGTGAAGAGGGATAGAAGCAGAGCTCAGCAGAGTGTGTCCTGAAGACAGGCGTTGAACTACCCTTTGAGGGCTGAGCTAGGTTTCAGACACAGATACAGACCTATGTCCGAGATACCCGGGCCTCCTAAAGAGAATGGTGGAGAGAATGCCCAAAGGGCTGTGCCCGGAGAGGCGCCAGAAGGTAGCTTGGGGCTAGTGCAGTGCTCAGACCTGGGGTTGCGTCTGAATGACCAGGAGGACTGGGGCAAGCACATGCAGCCCACCCAGGTCGTCCACACGTGATGGCAATGCTGCTGGCCCCCCAGCACACTCCAGAGAACCTGGGGCATGGGCTTCCTTCCTTCCTGGGAGCAGCTGAAGGTTCTGGAGTGAGGCCAAGAGCCGGCCAGAGCAGCGGTGCAGGGAGATTTCTGGGAGGTGGACCCAGACAGAAGGCTGGTCAGGAGAGTCTTCCTGCAGTTTGTCAGAGAGGGAAGGAGGCGGCAGGGTCAGAGCGAGGTCCCTTTGTGTCTGTCTGTAGGCTGGTGCTTTTATGTGTTTCCTTTTTTAAAGACTACAGAGGGTGTTTGCAGCTGCTCCTCTCCTCCAGCCCAGGTGCCCCTCCTCCTCATGCTGGCCTGCGCTCTGCTGGGGGACTTGTCCCTGGGTCTCTGTACCCTCTCCTCTCCCTAAACTCTGGGGTCTCCCTGCAGGGGGCTTGTCCTGGTCACCCCGAGGACTCATGGAGCAGTTGTAGTCTTGCCCAGGCCACCCTTTATCTAGAAGGCCTTTCCCATGCATGATCTCTCTCCTAAGATGCTCCCAGGGCACCTCTGTCAGTTGATTTTTCCCAAGTGCTTCCCAGCCCCAGTGTGCTCGAAGGCCACACACACACACTGTGCATGCCCCTCCACAGTCTCGGCCAGGGCCGCCCCAGAGCCGAGGCCCCGTTCCTCCCCTGGACCTCCTTGGCCTCCCAGCCATCGGATCTGGGGCTGTAAACCCACTGAGCTCATGGGGGCCAAATGCAGACCATGTTTATTTGTGAGGCGGCACCTATTTGCTTCATTTGAAATGGTGAGGAAAATAATAATCCAGCACTCACGTGAGTTTGTGTGTGTGTGTGTGTGTGTGTGTGTGTGTGTGTGTGTGTGTGTGTGTGTGTGTGTGAAGGGAAGGAGAGGATTCTGCTCTGAGTCTTTATGAGAATGATAAACATTTCATTGAAACATACGCTAATAATTCCTGTTTAAAAATGGATTTTTGACATTTAGAGCTATTCTTAATTTTCAGTGATACCCTAGAGTTTTTTAAATATTTGTGATCTAACCGCCATCCTTTCAAAAAAACAAAAAAAACCTACCATATAAAATTATTTTTTAAAGTTGAAGTAGATGTAATTCTGGTGTGTAATTTGTGGGAAATGTTTCAGGGGAACCCTTGTTAGGGTGGATGATGTCATCTTGGCTACCAGAGGGCCCAGTGTTCATGATCAGTGCTGTGGCTTTTCAGTATTTACCTGAAAGGAATATTATGCACTGATTAAGATTATATTTTGGAAGAGTGACAGTGGCATGGGACGATGCTCAAAAGCAGGTGAACTGTGCAAAGAAAGGCACGCACCACATCTGCAGTGTGCTCTCAACTGTCTAAAAGCAGGTGGGCGGAAAGGCACAGAGATGGTAGGTAGCTGTGTTATCTTTACATTTAACTACGGGTTATTTTCCTTGCTCTGAACCTTTTAATCTTTAAATGTTCCACATTTTCTACAATGAGCATGTATTTTAAGATTTACCAACATCACTAGCCCTTTGAATGCAAAGGATTTCTCTACACCTGAGTGACCGTGGTGGGGGTGTGGCTGGGGGCCAAGGCTGGTTGCTTTTCCGGAACCCCTGGAATTGTGGAGCTCTGCACAGCGGGAAGCTTTGGTCACCCCCACTTCCTTCTGCAACCCCAGCCCACGCTGGCCTGCACCAAAGCACAACCTTGGGCAGTTGGGTTGCGCTGTGCAGCGCTGGGAGTCCTGCTCCCAGAAGGGGCTTCCTTACTGCCTCCGGGCAGGCCTGCCGTGGCCACGGAGGGAGGCCCCCACACTCCTGTTTGGCATTTCCCAGGCGGCTGTGTCCCGGCGGTGGCAGGACCTGCCAGAGCCAGCAGGTGTCCCCAGATGAAGGCACTGCGCAGTGCGGTTGGCTGGGAGCCCCCATTCACTCCCCCGCCCGGGGCTGTCCTAAGTGGACGGAGGTGTTTCCCGGGCCCTGTGTATGCTCCTCAGGGCCCCCGCGTTTCCCGGGACTGGCCGTTTAAAGCCACCCGAGTACATACTCGGTGTAGGAAGAAACAGCACAGCCTTGTGGAGGCCAGGATCTTGAATCTGCTCTTGTTCCTTGAAGCGGAGCCAGAGGGTCTATGCCTGTGTGCGAGCACTAGGTGGCGCCAGAACGCCTGTCCCCAGAGCTTTCCTGTCCTGCACCGTTTCAGGAGGGTGGTGGACAGGTGACCAGGGTCCTCGTTACCAACACAAATCCAATGCTGCAGGTTGTCAGAGGGCTGACAGACTGTCTGGCACCTTTCCCAATTCCTAAGTCGTTCATCATGTAGTCTGAAATTCAGAGCACCTGATAAGAGCACATATATTTTAGGAAAATTTCACGGTCCTTGGTAGACATGATCCCATCAGTTCTAGGTTGTAGTACAACCCTCTTCACTGTGTTTCCATTGGTTTATTTATATTTTTTAGGAAAGCCCTCATTCATATCATAACTGTTGATTGTCTTTTTGAAATAGAGCCTTCTAAAAAGGGAGGAAAACATTTATTTCACAGAGTGTGGCTGCTGCAGAAAGGCAGCCATACCCCAGTCCTTCTAGTTGCAGGGTGGAAAGGTCTGTTGCCACAAGGTTTAGGGCATTTCTTGTCCACGTCTTCTTTTTTTCTTCTTTCCTTTGCCTTCAGTTCCAGTCAGTTTAGCTTATTTTCCTCATTAACTAAAAGGAAGATGCAAGAAGTTGTGGCACAGAAAAAGCCATCTGAAAATGAAATTCATGGGGCCAGGACCTTCCTTATGAGGATTTTGAGGAATTCTATGAGGTACAGTCTTGGTTTTACAATCAATTTACTTCTGTGGTATAACAAATTCGTCTGTTTTATGCTTTAGTTCACTGGAAACTATTATAAAGTCAATACGTTCCACATCTTGTCATCCATGAATTTTTCCTCAATTATCTGAGTCATCAGAAGGTTATGTAATAAATACCTTTTGGTTTAATCCTCCTTAATATTCTACATTGCATAGAATTCTTGTGTTTTGCCTGCTTGGAAGAATGATGTACTTGAAGTACCTGAAGAGACTCAGTTGAGTTTTCCTCCACTCTTGATTGGGCTATAATCTGTCCACAGTGATCAACTCTGTCCCAAATTAAACAAGTGGCAGGTAGGAGAACAGAGCATGGGTGGGTCTCCTCACACAGCAGCATTCTTGTGGAGGCACTGGTACATTTCCCCAGCAGTTGGAGGGATTTCCAACTGGACATACCTTATTACACCTGGGCAGGTGTAGCCAAAACATTGATATGCCACCCATGGGGTGGTGGGGGCTGCAGGGGAAGAGCCCAGGAAGGCTCCTACCACGTTCCGAAGGCCTGGCACCAACAGCCTGCAGTCTGGGGCCTAGGCCATCGTGACATCAGACACTCCGAGAGACTCAGAGGCACACATCAGCTAGTCCTAGTGAACTACAAGATCGCTGCACTTACTTAGGTGAGTAGTCAACAGAAGAAGTGTAAACGCTGTGTGAGCCAGCTGAGCTGGGGACCGTGAGCTTTTCTCCAGGGCGGTCTTGTCTCAGGATGCTCAGGGCCCTGTGCAAAGCTGTGGTGAAACAGGAAAGGTAGAAGACGTCTGTGGTCTCATTGTAGGGGAGCGAGGTGTATTTACCTATTTAGAATAAATTTTGAGGACTTGGAGCTACTCCGTGTTTTGGGAGCCTGTGATTCTCACTGTGCATCGAGGTAGGTTCTGCACTAATAAAATTCTAAGAAGAGTGTTCGTGCACAGGTACGGCGGAAGGCCCTGGAGGCAAAGCTGTGAATCACGCGCCAGGAGCGTGGCCTATTTCTCCGCCTCCCTAGGCACGAACCTGGCCTTTCTGTGGCGTCTCTGAGTTGTCTGTGTTCCTTTTCAGGAGGAATGCTGAGCTGGAGGCCTCACTCCTGGCACGCCACCAAGTTCTCCGACAGCCACCTCGACACGTCGGCATCTCCGTTCCCCTCGGCCAGAGCCTGCCCCGCCTGGCGCAGCCGGCACCACGTGAGGTAGGTGCGCGTTTCCTGCCAGCCTGGAGAGTCGGAAGTTCTGCATATGCTCACAGCTTCCCAGCCCTGGCAGGATAGGACCTTTCTTGACTTCAGAGTGACTTGATTTTTCTGATGAGGAAAGGCCACTGGCAGGACTTTGTAACTTCTCACTTGGCAGGCAGATGTACAAGTCTCGAAAACAAAAACGCCAGGAGCAAGGGTGAACGAGAGTGCTTTTCTCAAGCTATTACGTTGCTAGATCAGGAGCCTGGGGACCAACCTGTTCTGGCTGAACCCTTTGGACCAGCCTAGTTGGTGGTTCTGAGCCGAATGGGACAGCTGTCCATGCTATGCCACCACCCTTTTGAGACTTTTACATGTAGATTGGAAAGCAGAAGGCGCTTATGGGTTGGGCAGGTGTATTTATCGAAAGCTCCCCAGGCAATTCTGTTAAGCCTCATACCTTCCCTGCAAGCCCCAGGGCTGTGCTGTGTATGTAGAGGAGAAACTAGGGGCTTCACAGCCACATGCCAGAGCAGTGATTAGCTTTCAGGGCCTGGAAGTGGTGTCTCACTGAGCATAAGACTGAAATGGTGGAGGGGGAGTTCTGGTCAACCTTCCTACCCAGACCTGGCATTTCTGGGCCAGGAGGGTCAATGTCAGCTGGGCGTCTGTCAGCACCACAGGGGTGTTGGCTTGCGGAAGCTTCTAGTAGGCCCAAGGTGCTGACTGGACACCTCAGGATAGTGGCCAGTGTCCTCACTAGTCCCCTGTTAGAAGGATGACAGTAACAACAAATAGTGTGGCTTTGGGGTGTGTGTGTATGTGTATGTTCATGTGCTTGTATGTGTATTGGTATACACTGTGTGAGTATGTATGCATATGTGTATACATGTCTGTGTATCTTTGCTCATAGGTGTATCAGTATGCATGTATGCATGTAGGAGTGCCTGCGTATCTATGTACATACCTGTGTATCTGCTTGTGTGTATCAGTATACATTATGTGTGTGTGAGCATGCATGCGTATTGGTGTGTATGTGTTTCTGTTCATATGAGTCTATCAGTGTATGTGTGCGCATGTATGAGTGCATGCATATCTGTGTATATGCATGTGTGTATTTGCTCATGTGTATTGTGTGCATGATAAATGTGCTTGTCTGAGTATGTGCGTCTTCCTGTGCTCGTGTGTGTGTGTATTGGTGTACATTATTTGTGTATGAATGTGCATGGGTATCTGCGCACATGTGAGAATGTATTCATATCTAAGTGTGTATGCATGTGTATCTGCATGCACGTGTGATCATGCACACATATCTAAGTGTGTTTCTGCCTCTGTGTGTTTGGAGTGAACATAACTACCTCAGTCAGTTTGTGGCTGTTGGTAAATACTGGCCTGTAAAATTGTACTTAGTGAAGGAAATCCATCTCAAATACAACATTACCTATTTGAAGTGATAGGAGATTATGGTATTGGGAGCCTAGGGTATTTTTGAAAAGCCACAGTCTCAGTTGAGTGGTAAAGCTGAAGTGAAATGTGGGCCTTTTATTTCATTATTGAAGTGACTTCATGTAACAGGATCACCAGAAGCCTATTTGGTGGTTTCTTGATTGAGCAGACACATATGCTGCCCACATCTGTGTTAGTGTTATTTATAGCAGGGCTCAGCAGCTCATGGATGAGTGGTGGGGTGGGTGGGAACATGGGGAAGAACATGCTCCATTTCTGAGCAGGGTGCCTAGTCTGTCCAAACAGGAAAGGGTGTACAACTCAAACGGTCATCTGCCTGGATGAATAGTTTTACCATGGAGAGCTGACAGCCTCACATATACACTACCACTATCTTAGAATAATTAAGTCCTTAATTAATCACTTATCACCTGGCTTATTGTAATAAGTCTGATTTTTTTTTTGCTCCTTTGAGACCTTGTCCTACTTATGAAGCTGTGTGTGTGGCCTTCAGGTACAGCTCCACTGAACAGTCAGGTTTTGCCGATCCCCTGAGCCCACTGGGTCTTTCTGATGAAGCCTGTCACTTAAGTTCGCTGCCAGATATTCCATTGACTGAGAAGGAGCTCTTAGTACTTCAGTATTTGGGTTTCGGAAAGTAAATATTATCCCTGAACTTTCCCTTTTAACTTATAAATCTCATTTGATTGCTTCTTTCGTGTTAATAATCCATAAGAAGAATCATTTCATATGGTGGACCAGGGGTCCACCAACGTGTTCTGCAAAGGGACAGATAGTAAAAATACTTTATTCAGGCTCTGCTAGTCAGTGTCTGCAGCAGCTACTCAACTCTGCTGTGGTAGCTGGAAAGCAGCTGAAAATTGCAAACACATGGCTGTGAATGTTCTGATCAACCTTTGTTGAGGAACACTGAAATTCGAATTTCATAACATTTTCGCAGGTCATGAAATATTACTCTTTTGATCCCACTGCTTCCCCACCCCAACCATTTAAAAACCTAAAAACTATTCTCAACTCAAGGGCTGTGGTTTGCCAACTGCCGTATGTACCTAGTGATGGGCAATGCATGTGTGTGCACATGGGCATTTTGCCTGCTGGTGACTGCTGTGGGCTGTGGCCAGCCTGCAGGTGTTCAGGTGAGAAGTGTGTACCCAGCATTTTAAGGTAACTGGGAAAAGGCCTGAGGTGGGCAGGACCCAGTCTGCCCTCAGAAAGTCACTCTTTAAAATGCTGACATCTACATGTGATGAGGTCACACTTGAGGTCCAGTGATGGTATTCTGGGAAGATTTTTCGCCACCTGGCACCTTGCCATTTCCTCGGAGGGCCAGCTCTATTAACGGTGCTGTTGTCTGCTTTTCCCTTTGTGACTTGATTGTAATGCAAACTGTGCCCTGTCGTTCTCATCCCTTAGTTGTTCTTCCCATGACCTGTCGGGCGCATGGGAGCAGACGAATCTGCAGCGCACATCTGACCATTTCAGCTCCCTGGGGAGCATGGACAGCCTGGACCACGCCCCCCAGCCCCACGCCTCTGGACGCCTTTCAGCCGCCAAGTCCAGTAGCAGCATCGACCACCTGGGCGGCCACAACAAGCGGGACTCGGCTTACGGCTCATTTTCCACCAGCTCCGGCACACCGGACCTCACCTTGCCCAAGGTCGATGGCTCCTCCGCAGAGAACATCCTCTACAAAGTAGGCTTTTGGGAGGCCTCCAAGGCAGGTGGCGCCCAGCAGGGCCCAGCCCCCAGTGACCCTCAGGGCCTGGAGGAAAGGCTGGGGAATTTCCCAGCCAGGGTAGAAGTCCCAGAGCCGGAGGACAGCCCTGAGCCCAAGCTGGCCACTTCTGGGAGGTCCAGTTTTGGGCCTGTCTGGTATGTTCCAGATAAGAAGAAAGCCCCTTCTTCCCCTCCCCCGCCTGTGCCCCCTCTCCGCAGCGATAGCTTCGTGGCCACCAAAAGCCATGAGAAGACCCAGGGCTCTCCGTCCTCAGAAGTGGCCAACGTGCAGCACTTTCCAGGCCTGACCCAGGCCCAGCCCCGGGGTGCCTGCAGGCTGCAGCCCACTGGGCAGCAGTGGAGATCTGCACACCCCAACAGCGGGAGGAGAGTGGCTGTACCCGGACTGGGCAGCCTCCCAGTGGTCCCTGGCCAGCTCCAGGCCTCTCTGTCCAACACGGATGTGCGTTGTCCACCATTGTCTCCTGGGTCCCAGCATGCACGCCAGCACAGTGATGAGAGCCCCTTCTCTCATGAGGGTGCTGGGCCTGCCATGTCACTGAGGGAGCAGCCATGTGTCGCCCTTGCTGGGGGCCGTCAGGAGCTTCCCATTGACTGCTTGCAGGGTGACGGTCCCACTCTGGTCCGGTGGCCCAGCGCTGCCGACCAGGAAGGGGACAGCAGTGGACATAGCCCCTACTATTGGGTGACCTCTAGACAGGGCCTTCAGGGAGCCACACAGGCCACACAGCTCCATGAGGAACACTGGCCTCATGACGTGGCCCTGGGCACCCACGATGGCGACAGGGCTGACCCAGGGAATGGAGGTGCAGAGGGCTGCTTTGTGGGCATCGAAGAGCCCCAAAAAGCCGGCCCTGGGAACAAGACAATCTCAGATGGCGTCACGTGGGCTGATGGAGGCGGCAGCAGGATCTCTCCTCGCAACACACCCCTGTTGCACTCGCTGGCCCAAGGAGGGTCGGGCCGGCCTGAGAACGGCCCCGATGGTGGCCCAGAGAGGCCGCTGCTCGCCGGCCCGGCGGGCAAGCCCATGCGGAGAAGCGACCGTTTCGCCACCACGCTGAGGAATGAGATCCAGATGCGGCGGGCCCAGCTGCAGAAAAGCAAGAGCGCAGTGACGCGGGCTGGGACCAGCGACGTGGGGGAGGACGCTGGCTGCTGGGCGGCGGACCTGGGGGGCACCACGGGTGCCACCCTAGATGGTTTCCCGGGTACCTACAGAGACCACCTGAAGGAGGCCCAAGCCCGGGTCCTGCGGGCCACGTCGTTTAAGCGCCGTGACTTGGGACCCAGCCCAGCGCACCATGGCGTGGGGTCCCCGGAACACAGGGCCGGGGACCACAGTGCAGATCTGGACATTGTCCCCCACTTTCGGGAGACAGGCCTGGCCAAGCCAGCGGCGTGTGGAGGTGGTGGCTCGCACATGCCCCGCATCGGAGGCCGCAGGCGGTTCACAGCGGAGCAAAAACTGAAGTCGTACTCTGAGCCAGAGAAAATGAATGAGGTGGGGCTCTCAGGGGAGTACTGCCCCCACCAGCACCCCAGTCCTCCTGGGGAGACTGTGGGCACGTTTGCCGACAGGTGGAAGTTTTTTGAGGAGACGAGCAAATGCTCCCCCGAGGCCTAGGCTGAGGCAGGTGCCCCACGGGTTCCCCAGCAATAAGCTGGGGCAGATGGTAGGCCCTGGGTGCGGGGGCGCAGAGGTGGGGCTGCAGTGGAGGGCCCACACAGCCTCCTGTGGGGAGAATGCCCGTGGGCAGGGCATAGCCGGGAAATTGGGACCATCTCAGAGACTCAGCACGTTTGTTGAGCACCAGGCCTCTTGGGGGAACCAGAGGACAGCCCTGGAAGCCAGGGGGTCTGGGAGGTATCACTCGGCAGATGACATCCTGGATGTGGGTCTGGACCAACATGAGAGGCCGCTGTACCTTCACGAGAGGTCCCAGTCATCGCCATCCACAGACATCTACAGACAGGTAAGCTCCAGGCCTCTGGCAATGACAGCCACCCCCATCCACCATCCTGACACATGATGCCCCCAAAAGGTAATGGCCCAGTGTCAGTGTGACTCATATCCAGCTGTTTGAGCATTACACGTACCAGCTCCTCACGGTCAGCCTATGAGAAAGGGACCCAGGGGCAGATGGCACTTTCACAGCAATTGTGAGCACCCTATTTTTTATTTATTTTTTTATTATGGTATCATTAATATACACTTTTATGAAGATTTTACAGGAAAACATTGTGGTTACTACATTCCCCCATATTATCAAGTCCCCATCCATAGCCCATTGCAGTCACTGTCCATCAGTGTAGTAAGATGCCACAAAATAACTACCTGTCTTCTCTGTGCTACACTATCTTCCCTCTGAACCCCCCACACCATGTGTACTAATCTTAATACCCCTCAATCCCCTTCTCCCTCCCTCCCCACCCACCCTCCTCCATCCCTCCCCTTGAGTAACTACTAGTCCCTTCTTAGAGTCTCTGAGTCTGCTGCCATTTTGTTCCTTCAGTTCTGCCTCGTTCTTATACTCCACAAATGAGGGAAATCATTTGATACTTGTCTTTCTCTGCCTGGCTGATTTCACTGAGTGTAATATCCTCCAGCTCCATCCATGTGGTTGCAAATGGTAGGATTTGTTTTCTTCTTATGGCTGAATAGTATTCCATCGTGTATATATACCACCTCTTATTTATCCATTCATCTACTGATGGACACTTAGGTTGCTTCCATATCTCAGCTATTGTAAATACTCCTGCTATAAACATAGGGGTGCACATGTCTTTTTGAATCTAAGAACTTGTATTCTTTGGGTAAATTCCTAGGAGTGGAATTCCCATGTCAAATGGTATTTCTATTTTTAGATTTTGAGGAACCTGCAAATTGCTTTCCACAATGGTTGAACTAGCTTACATTCCCCCCAGCAGTGTAGAAAGGTTCCCCTTTCTCCGCATCCTTGTCAGCATTTGTTGTTCCTAGTGTTTTCAATGCTGGCCATCCTAACTGTTGTGAGGTGATATCTCATTGGTGGGCACCCTATTTTTATCCACATCTTGAGTTCTCAGCCACATCATCTCTTGGTTCTGCCACTCTATTTTGCCCCTATCTTCATACCAAGCAAAGAATATGGGGTAAACTCTAGAAAATGATAAGTTTTCCTCTGAAATGAAAAGGGGTGCTTTGTATAAAGGCTTAAGACAAAATGTATGGGAGCCACTCCTTGAATATTGATGTTGCTTAATACATGGTGAACAGTACAAGGGCAGTCATCACAGAAACTTTCAGTTTTGATCACTAGAATACTAGTTATTGTTTCTAGTATTCTCTTTCTTGCAAATATTTGTAAACATTGCTCTGGGACAGATATAATTAGAAAAGCAATCTGCTGAACCATTACTTTTACAGTAAGAGTTTTGATAAAACTTGTGCTAAACAGCTTACTTCCAGTCTTCTAGAAAACTACATGGCGTTCTGCATGCTTTGAAGTCCACAGCCAGCTCTCTGTCCCTGTTTCTGCTTTGTCTGCTTCTTACACCTGTATGTGTATATTCCAAAGAAAAAAAATAGTCCTTGCAGCAACAGATGCAGCTTTTAAAAAGAAGCAGTTGGATTTAATACACAGCATTTGATCTGTGCATGTGAAGACAACCGCTTGCTTCTTTGTGGTGTCCTGGGCTGAAAGGCCAGTAGACACGCAAGGGGTTGTCTCTGCCGGGCAGGACTGTGGACTGTGGACTGTGTGGCATGGCCACTGAGAACTCCATGCTGGCTCAGTCAGGAGACAGGAAAATCCCAGACTGGCAAATCCTAGAACTTGAGGCTTTGCCCCAGTGAGCTGTAAGCAGCTGTATTTGATTTGACCATTTTGGTCAGTAGGTCCCACAGTCTTCAGACTCACGTAGGAGTTCTTCCCGCCCAGAACTGAAATGGGCTGAGGGTCTCCTTCAGTCATTTTGATGAAACCCTTTGGATGGTGGAGCTCACCCGCCTTGCGGCCGAGTGTCGGTACAGGACAGCCAGCTGCGTCACTGGCTCCGTGGTCCAGGCCTACAGGGCAAGCCCACAATGACGGGGTTTGTAATAACAGATTTCTTGGAGGCAGCTTGATCACTTGGTGTCTCACTGCTGCCCTTGGCAGGAAGCCTCGGCCGAACCGCGATGGCAGGCAGAGGGCCCTGGTGAGCGCCGAGAACGTTCTGCATTCCGGGCCGAGGAGGGACGTCACACTCCAAGGTAAGTGGATTCGGATTTGGGGTGGCTGAGCAGGCGTCTTGGGGATGGGCTTCTGTCTGGTGGGTGAATGCTTGGTTAGCATGGTCAGCTATCCGGTTATGCCAAACCCAGCGTGGTTCCTAAACCAGATGCGATTTCCCACATCCCTGGTGTGGGCTCCGGAGCATGTTTCGAGCTGCA